GAATTTCCTTTTGTTTTGCTTGCTTTTGCTTTTGAATTTTCAGTTTTTGATTTCTTTTCTTTGATTTTTCTTTTGTTTTTGTTTTTCCCTTTTGATTTAACTTGTTTCCTAGACTCTTTTCAGGTGCATGACTAGGAGGTCCAACAAGGACAACCTAGTTGAACATCCAGAGATAGACAAGCTTGAGAAGCAACTTAGGAAGCAAAAGCCCAAGAGATGGCCGACGAAGCAGCTCGCGCTCACGCCGCTGAAGTGGCGCGCGCTCAAGAAGAAGGAAGAGATCCACCTCCTCCTCCTCCTAATCCACAAGACTGCTGGAGATGTGAATGTGCACAACCCCAAGCGGAGCACCTACAATCGGAGACTATGACTCTGCCGATGCTTTCTTCATGGATAGAAACCCTATCCATCCACCACTTCCTGCAAGGAATGACTATGAGATCAAGCCTCAGATCATAGCATTGGTTAGACAGAACCAATTCAATGGCCTTCCAGCTGAGCATCCTCTTGATCACATAGAAAACTTTGAAGAGATTTGCAGCACTACAAGATCCAATGGAGTCTCTGCTGACTACTTGAAGTGCAAGCTCTTTTCATTCTCTCTTGGCGACAAAGCTTCAAGATGGTTGAAGTCTCTGCCAGCTCACTCCATTACCACTTGGGATGAGTACAAGGCGCTTTCATCAACCACTTCTACACCAAGCAAAGATCAGTTTCTGTAAGGAACAAGATCTCCAACTTTCGCCAAGCCAACAATGAATCTTTCTATGAGGCGCTAGACCGATTCAAGGAGTACATTAGGGACTGCCCTAATCATGGTTTCAATGAGGGAAACCTATGGAACATCTTCTATCGTGGCATAGACCACAAGTACAAGCTTTCATTGGACACTGCAAGCAATGGAAACTTCATGACCAAGACTGTTGATGAAGCTAAGGTTCTTATTGAGAATCTTGCAGCTAGTGATTGTAACAATTGTCCTGATTATGACCGCTCAAGCCGCACCACTACTAGCTCCCCTGATTCTTTTCAAATGACTGAACTCAAGAACATGATGGCTCAAGTTCTTAAGGGACAGCTCAAGCATATCAATGCAATAGAAGGGATGAGTGATGCTAATGAAGACCCATCAAGAGAATGCATGGGAGATTTCTCTAATGAAGCCAATGAAGAAGATGTGAACTACATTGGAAACTATGGGAACAAGGGATACAATCCAAGCTATCGCCCAAACCCCAACATGTCTTATAGAAACCCCAATGTGGAGAATCCTCAAGACCAAGTGTATCCTCCAAGGTATCCACAACAACAAAGACCTCCTTACCAATCTCAAGGAAGTCAATTTCAGCCAAGGCAAGGGTATGAGCAGAGATCATCATATCCGCCCAAGGAGCCATATGCTTCTTCACCAAATCAAGCTCCTCCAAACCAACAAGGTGGAAGATTTGAAGGAATCCTCCAACAGATCATGGATGGCCAGAAGAGAATACTAAAGAGATGTATGAGAAGATGGACACTTTGTTCAGCAATCTCAACACCAAGTATGATGCTGTTGCCACTCATGTGAAGAAACTAGAGACTCAAGTCACTCAAACTATGGAAGCTGTTAAGAGACAGGAAGCTGAATCCAAGAAGTCCTTTTGCAACTCAGCCGCCATAGAAGAAAGATTTGAAGACCAAGTTCCAGAATGGATGCTTTCAAAACCTACTGTTGATTGCATGATTTGGCCTGAAGAGTGATGATAGGATTTGTGTGTGGTGTGAAAGATATGAAATGAGATGTGGTGGAATGCAACAGTGGTATAGATGAGGTGGTAAGATGCAAACACAAACACAGTCAACAATTCCCTTTAACCATGATAGTTGTTATAGCATAAAGGGTATCAATCCAAAATGGGTGAAGATTGTCACTCTATGAGAATATGAAAAACAAGGAAGTCAAGCAAGCAGTAATAGTTATGGGGTAACACTAACAACCTAAAAAATGAAATGCAATGCAGTAAAAGTAAAAAAGCAGTAAGCAACAGCTCGACCAAGGACTCGAGTCGAGTGGAACAGAGTACCGAGCTCGATCGAGTTTAGGGTCGAGTTGAGTAAAAAGCAATAAAGGCAGCGACTTTAACAAGCTAATGCGAGAATTAGGGTTCAAGACAGGGTTTTGCAATAGGGAAGCTACACTTAATCGATCTGCTCTTAAAACTCCTTGTATCAAGGCTTCTCTTGATATTGGGCTTCTCAATGCCTAGCCAACCCTTTCCCAAGGTGAAAGGCTATCAACCAAGGAATGATCTCAGAAACAGGGGGTTAGCCAGTGAGAATCAAACCTTGGAGGCCATAGGATCATTGCCCAAACTAATCCATCCAACCCCTTGAACTCCATTTCGAGAGCAAGAGTTATTGGAGCTCTTAGTGGATATTTTCCAGCGATTTCCATCACTTCCATGTGGAGAATCGCCTAATGACATACAAGCCAGGGGTAGTGGTCATGTAGCCTTAAGATTTATCCAAAAGAGAGAGAATCTAGATTAAGACCATAAGCAAGAAGGATTAAGCATATGAAACCCCTAATCTATCCCATCTCAAACCCTAATGGGTAACTACTCACTACACATGAATGTAAACACAAGCAAATGCAATGAAAGAGACATCAAATGAAAGAGGAGATAAAGATAAACAACTTTTATTGAAATAAGCAAGTGCAAATACAAAGAGATTATCCAGGATCTAGGATTCAAGAAGCAAGAGCTTCAAGAACACAAAGATGGGATTAGAGCTCTAAAAAGTAAAAGACAATAATTAAAAGAAACTAAAACAAAAATAATCTAAAGCTTGGTGGTTTTTTCGTGGCTTTTAGCCTTTAAATACAAGAGGATTAGGTTTAGGGTCAAAGGAAAGTCAAGGGGGAAGCAACATTTTTCGGGTTTGACTTTGACTTCTCAGCTCGATCGAGTTGAAGCTTGGCCGGTCGAGTTGAGGAACTCGACCGGTTGGTCGAGTAGATGGTCGAGCTGGTCTTCAAGATGGCTTCCTCCTTCTTCCTTTGCGTATCCAGTTGAGCTGCGTCCATGCCAAGTCCTTCCATGCTCCTCACGTCCCATATGCTCCAGAATGCTCCAAAAGACCTATTTCAAAGGACCAAACATGCATATGTATGCAAATGCAACCTAAAACTACTATGAATGCATAAGAAGAGAAAAGGAACAAGATATGATGCTAATGGATGCTAAAACTATGCAAAAGATGCATAAAAGATGTACTAAAACTATGCAAAATGCAAGTACATCAACACCCCCAAACTTGACTTTGCTTGCCCTCAAGCAAACAAATAGAACAAGAAAGAGATGAGGTTTGAAAACAGTTGATTCAACACTTAAAAACATGTCCTCAAAAGCGATTTGCTAAATGTCCAACTTAGAGATTCTAGAATGCAACAAGGTGAGAGATATTCATTAAGATTTAACCATGCTTATCAACATCAATCCCACTTCACAGTCACTCAAACAATGCATTCAAATCAGCAAATCCCTTTAACATTCATTAAGCAAAAACATGCAAGATCAATCAACTCATTTGGTTTCAAGGGTTTATGGGTTAAGAGACAAAGAGGGTCTCTTTTGTATGGTGGTTTAGTAACAGGGATCTCTCAAGAAAGTGGCTTTGCTTTGGCAGAAGGCTAAGTGTTAGAACCAAAGATGATGCAAGAACAGCAGCTCGAGCCGTCTAATCCTAACTCGATCGAGTTCAACACTTAGAGCTTTTTAGAACAAAATCCTAACTACCCTTTTTGGCATTTCGCCTTTGAAACTGAGGAGCTTTGCTCACTTTTCTTTTAAGAACTTCCTAGGGAGAGGCTTCTTGAGGTAACATCTAGCGGTTTGGGATTTTCTAAACACTTAGGGAACTTTTCTTTCCTTTTTGACACTTGAGGCTTTGCCTTCTTTTCTTTCTACTTAGAACCCTTTTTTACTTCCTTTTTTAACTTCCCAAACCTTTACTAGACCCTTTTTAACACTGCCAACTCCCTGGACTTAACTAAACTCTTTTTCCTTTGGTTTTTCCCAACTTTTACCACTTTTCTGGTTTTTACACCCAACTCGATCGAGCTCGAGTTGGCACCCCCAAACTTAGCCTGAAAACAATCCCAAGAGAACTAGACAACTAGAACTACTGCCCCTGCCGGTTTAAACACAACACCTTATGCTAAGCAAAGCCAAGAAAGGTTCTCACAATTCGCACAAGAGATAAAATGGGGTTTGAAATGAAAAGGCTTAGGTTTAAGGTGTGGTAACTGTCTCAAAGATGGAGATCAGCTATCTGGACAAGCAAGAGGGATATGAAATAGGTAAAGAATGTCCAGATATGTATGTGGTAGCCATGAGTTGAAATCAAATGCAAGCATTGGTAATTAAAGATCAAGTTATGGTTCAAATAGATAGGGAAATGCATCAAATCACAGCAATGGTTGAATGAGATGTGCATGCAGTGATATGATCAAGATAAACATGGTTCTTGCTGCTCAATCAATCTCACCCTAATGCACAAAAGAATCTAAAAACAGGGCACTCAAGAAATCGCAAATGATGAACAAGTTTTCAAATCAAATCAACAATGCAAGTGAAAGATGCAATCCTAAACAATCTAAGAAATATGAATGCAAAAAGATGAAAATATTTTTGGATTTTTTGAAAATTTTATGATTTTTTTGGTTTTTCTATGCAAAAAGAGAATGAAAAACTAAGAACAAAGAAAACAAGGTTAAATCATCTCTTGAACCCTCCCCCAAACTTAAATCACACAGTCCCTTGTGTGAGAGAAATTTAGTGAAAGATTCAAGAGGCAAAAACCAAGAGAAAAAAAAAAAAATGCAAGAAAAATGAAATGGTATGTACAAGGGTTGGTGTTTGATACCTCAGTGCCCCCCAAAGAACTGGGAGGCAAGGTCGTGGTCTGGAGAGGGTAGACGGCCATCAGGGGCACTCCACTCGACCGGTTCACCTCACTCGATCGAGCTTGCGGCTCTTCATTGTGTCAACATGTGGTACTTGGTCTCCACAATGTCCATGGAGAAGAGAGCATTGTAGTGCTCTTGGTACATAGGGAGTTCTTCTTCCTCCTCTTGTGGCTCAACCTCCTCCATAGGTTCACCTTGGTTACTCTCTTGCTCACTCTCATCAACCAACTGATTCACCTCTTCTCTTTCCTCTTCACTCTCAGACTCATCACTTCCTTCTTCACTTGGAGAGCCATTACCCTCCTCTTGAACAAGGTTCACTCCAATCTCAAACTCCCCTTGCTCACTCTCACTACTAATGGGGTCATTCCTCTTCTTGGTCCTCCTTTCCTCCCTCAATCTCTCGATCTCAGACTCTTCCTCAGAGTATACATACTCCTCTGCATCAGACTCTTCCATCCTTTGAGTCATTGCCGCCAAATCGGCTTGCATTTTAAGCCTTCTCTCCCTTGCATTGCTTGATTCACCCTCAACCATTCTCCTCTGTGAAGCGCGACTTCCCTCACTGTTTGTCATCTCTGTTACACTGTTTCTTCACTAAAGTACCTGAAATGCATCAAAGATTACAAAGAATTAGAGTTGCAATGATCGGTTTGGTCAACTCGACACTCAGCTCAATCGAGTCAAAAAACTCGAGTGACAAACTCGATCGAGCTAAGCGAAAACAGAGTATAACCGAACCTAATCCGAATATTAAGAGCTGGAAAGGATGCTTAATAATCAAATTGAACCACGAACAACAAGTTAATGGAACAATAAGCAATTCTAGTGAGACCTTAAGCATCTTAATCAATACCAAACTCAAATTCAATGTTTCAAGCACATGCAACAAGTTCTAATAGTGAAACAGAGGTGAGGTGAGGCAAATTCACAATGGTATAAACAGGAGAATGATATGAAAGCAATTACTCAAGAATAAACCTACAAGGGGCACATGCAATCAAAATCAAAGAGAAAACAAGCAATAAAGAGAATCGAGATGAGGGATTGATGATAGGATGTGGATGTGATATGAAATGAGGTGGAATGCAAACAGGGGTGAATAAAGATGAAATGGTATGGTGCAATCACAATCAATCATAGTCATTGAAGTATAAGAGGTTATCAATCCAAAATGGGAAACTTGTCACTCTTTGAGAATATGAAACAACCAGAAAGTCAAGCAAGCAGTTAAAGATTTGAAGTAACACTAACAACCTAAAAAAATGAAAAGCAGTGCAATAAAAGTAAACAAAGCAGTGAAGTGTCAGCTCGACCAAGAGCTCGAGTCGAGTCAGAGCAAAGTACCAGCTCGATCGAGTTTAGGGACGAGTTGAGACAAACAAAGCTAAAGGTGACGACTTTAACAAGATAAAGAGAGAATTAGGGTTCAAGACAGGGTTTTGCAATCAAAGGAATCTACACTTAATCAATCTAGCTCTTAAAACTCCTTGTATCAAGGCTTCTCTTGATATTGGGCTTCTCAATGCCTAGCCAACCCTTTCCCAAGGTGGAGGCTATCAACCAAGGAATGATCTCAGAAACAGGGGGTTAGCCAGTGAGAATCAAACCTTGGAGGCTATAGGATCATTGCCCAAACTAATCCATCCAACCCCTTAGACCTCTATTGTCTAGAGCAAGAGATATTGGAGCTCTTAGTGGATCTTTTCCAGCGAATGCCATCACTTTCGTGTGGGGAGTCGCCTAAGGACTTACAAGCCAGGGGTAGTGGTCATGTAGCCTTAAGATCTATCCAAAAGAGAGAGAATCTAGATTAAGACCATAAGCTAGAAGGATTAAGCATATGAAACCTCTAATCTATCCCATCTCAAACCCTAATGGGTAACTACTCACTACACATGAATGTAAACACAAGCAAATGCAATAAAAGAGACATCATAAGAAAGAGGAGATGAAATTAAACAACTTTTATTGAAATAAGCAAGTGCAAATACAAGAGAGATTATCCAGGATCTAGGATTCAAGAAGCAAGAGCTTCAAGAACACAAAGATGGGATTAGATCTCTAAAAAGTAAAAGACAATAAATTAAAAGAAACTAAAACAAAATAATCTAAAGCTTGGTGGTTTTTTCGTGGCTTAGAGCCTTTAAATACAAAGAGGATTAGGTTTAGGGTCAAAGGAAAGTCAAGGGGGAAGCAACATTTTTCGGGTTTGACTTTGACTTCCAGCTCGATCGAGTTGAAGCTTGGCCGGTCGAGTTGAGGAACTCGACCGGTTGGTCGAGTAGACGGTCGAGCTGGTCTTCAAGATGGCTTCTCCCTTCTTCCTTTGCGTATCCAGTTGAGCTGCTTCCATGTGCCAAGTCCCTCCATGCTCCTTATGTCCCATATGCTCCAGAATGCTCCAAAAGACCTATTTCAAAGGACCAAACATGCATATGTATGCAAATGCAACCTAAAACTAACATGAATGCATAAGAAGAGAAAAGGAACAAGATATGATGCAAATGAAAGCTAAAACTATGCAAAAGATGCATAAAAGATGTGCTAAAACTATGTAAAATGCAAGTACATCAACACCCCCAAACTTGAACTTTGCTTGCCCTCAAGCAAACAAATAGAACAAGAAAGAGATGAGGTTTGAAAAAGCTGATTCAACACTTAAAAACATGTCCTCAAAAGCGATTTGCTAAATGTCCAACTTAGAGATTCTAGAATGCAACAAGGTGAGAGATATTCATTAAGATTTAACCATGCTTATCAACATCAATCCCACTTCACAGTCACTCAAACAATGCATTCAAATCAGCAAATCCCTTTAACATTCATTAAGCAAAAACAGTGAACCAAAAACATGCAAGATCAATCAACTCATTTGGTTTCAAGGGTTTATGGGTTAAGAGACAAAGAGGGTCTCTTTTGTATGGTGGTTTAGTAACAGGGATCTCTCAAGAAAGTGGCTTTGCTTTGGCAGAAGGCTAAGTGTTAGAACCAAAGATGATGCAAGAACAGCAGCTCGAGCCGCCTAATCCTAACTCGATCGAGTTCAACACTTAGAGCTTTTTAGAACAAAATCCTAACTACCCTTTTTGGCATTTCGCCTTTGAAACTGAGGAGCTTTGCTCACTTTTCTTTTAAGAACTTCCTAGGGAGAGGCTTCTTGAGGTAACATCTAGCGGTTTGGGATTTTCTAAACACTTAGGGAACTTTTCTTTCCTTTTTGGACACTTGAGGCTTTGCCTTCTTTTCATTCTACTTAGAACCCTTTTTACTTCCTTTTTTAACTTCCCAAACCTTTACTAGACCCTTTTAAACACTGCCAACTCCCTGGACTTAACTAAACTCTTTTTCCTTTGGGTTTTTCCCAACTTTTACCACTTTTCTGGTTTTTACACCCAACTCGATCGAGCTCGAGTTGGCACCCCCAAACTTAGCCTGAAAACAATCCCAAGAGAACTAGACAACTAGAACTACTGCCCCTGCCGGTTTAAACACAACACCTTATGCTAAGCAAAGCCAAGAAAGGTTCTCACATTCGCACAAGAGATAATATGGGGTTTGAAATGAAAAGGCTTAGGTTTAAGGTGTGGTAACTGTCTCAAAGATAGAGATCAGCTATCTGGACAAGCAAAGGGATATGAAAATAGGTAAAGAATGTCCAGATATGTATGTGGTAGCCATGAGTTGAAATCAAATGCAAGCATTGGTAATTAAAGATCAAGTTATGGTTCAAATAGATAGGGAAATGCATCAAATCACAGCAATGGTTGAATGAGATGTGCATGCAGTGATATGATCAAGATAAACATGGTTCTTGCTGCTCAATCAATCTCACCCTAATGCACAAAAGAATCTAAAAACAGGGCACTCAAGAAATCGCAAAAGATGGACAAGTTTTCAAAGTCAAATCAACAATGCAAGTGAAAAATGCAATCCTAAACAAGTCTAACAAATATGAATGCAAAAAGATGAAAATATTTTTGGATTTTTTGAAAATTTTATGATTTTTTTGGTTTTTCTATGCAAAAGATAAATGAAAAACTAAGAACAAAGAAAACAAGGTTAAATCATCTCTTGAACCCTCCCCCAAACTTAAATCACACAGTCCCTTGTGTGAGAAAAATTTAGTGAAAGATTCAAGAGGGCAAAACCAAGAAAAACAAGAACAAATGCAAGAAAATATGAAATGGTATATACAAGGGTTGGTGTTTGGATACCTCAGTGTCCCCCAAAGAACTGGGAGACTAGGTCGTGGTCTGGAGATGGGAGACGGCCATCAGGAGCACTCCATGCAACTGGGTTGCCTCTTGTGGCTCACTCGATCGAGCTTGCTCTTGACTCGATCGAGTTGTGCCTCGAGTTAGCCCTCTTCTTCCTAAAACCTGCTCCTGTAAGACTTAGCCAAGAAAATCATAAAAATAAAAGGATAAAGTATAAATACATAAGATAGACATGGGAATTCCTCCCAAGTGAGCTTGTTTTAGGAGCTTGACCTTACCCCTTTTAGGCCGGGGTTGGATCTTCTAGAGGAGTGATGATCTCCTCTGTGGGGGTCATTCCTAGATATGGCTTGCATCTATGTCCATTCACTGTGAATTCCTTCCCCTCTTGATTGAGTAGAGTGAGGGATCCATAGGGTAGAACTTCGTGAATCTTGAATGGTCCCGCCCACTTTGACCTTAGCTTCCCGGGAAACAACCTTAGCTTGGAGTTATACAAGAGCACACTGTCCCCAACCTTGAAGTCCTTAAGGCGAATCAGTTTGTCATGGGCTGCCTTGGTTCTCATCTTATAGATCTGGAGTTCTCATAGGCATTCATTCTGATTTCCTCCAACTCAAACAAGTTCATTACCCTCTTTCTCTTGTGCTGCCTTTATATCAAAGTTCAGCATCTTTACTGCCCATAGTGCCTTGTATTCGACCTCCACAGGTAAGTGGCAATCCTTTCCCATACAGCAAGTTGAAAGGGGACCTTCCAATGGGGGTTTTGTAAGCTGTTCTATAAGCCCAAAGTGCTCATCAAGCCTTGCTGCCCAATCCTTTCCTAGTGAAGCTCACTGTCTTCTCAATATGGCCTTTATCTGTCTGTTGGAGACCTTCAACTTGCCCACTGGTTTGAGGGTGTAAGGTGTAGCGACCTTGTGCTTGACTCCATAACTCTTCATCAACTTTTCAAACACCTTGTTGATGAAATGGGAACCTCCATCCGAAATAACAACCCTTGGGATGCCATATCTTGGAAAGATGATGGTTCTGAACAATTTGATAACAACCTTAGCATCACAGGTTGGGCAGGGGATGGCTTCAATCCATTTGGACACATAGTCCACAGCAACCAAAATGTAGTTGTGCCCGTTTGAGGAAGGTTTGAAAGGTCCCATGAAGTCTATTCCCCATACATCAAAGATCTCAACTTCTAGAATTGGGTTTAGTGGCATCTCATCCCTCTTGGTGATCCCTTTCCTTTGGCATGGATCACACTTGGCGATGTAGCTTGCTGCATCCTTAAACAAGGTAGGCCACCACAACCCAGATTGCAGAACCTTAGTTGCTGTTTTGAATGTAGCAAAGTGACCTCCATAAGCTGACCCATGGCAATGCTCTAGAACTCCTTGCACATCCTCTTCAGCAATGCATCTCCTGTAAATGCTGTCTGGTCCTCTCTTGTACAGGTAGGGCTCATCCCAATAGTAATGCCTAGCATCCTTGAAGAATTTCTTCCTCTTGTAAGCATCAAAGCTACTAGGGACTTCTCCGGACACCATGAAGTTCACTATATCAGCATACCATGGCAAATTCTCATCACGCAGAGCCTTAACTTCTTCCAGCCTGGCTTTCTCATCAAAACTCTCCTTTCAAGATCATGATTGCCATAAGCTGTTCTTCAGGCATAGAATCATTGATGGGGATCATGTCTTCAACTCGCATCCTAGAGAGATGATCAGCAACTCCATTTTCTACTCCCTTTTTGTCCACAACTTCTATATCAAACTCTTGAAGCAAAAGGATCCATCTGAGAAGTCTTGGCTTTGTATCTTTCTTAGCGAAGATGTGTCTAAGGGCAGCATGGTCAGTGTGCACAATCACCTTGGATCCAACTATATAGCTTCGAAACTTCTCAAAGGCAAAGACTATGGCAAGGAGTTCCTTCTCTGTGGTTGCATACTTGCACTGAGCATCATCCATAGTCTTGCTTGCATAGTAGATGACATTGAGTTTCTTGTCTATCTTTTGGCCAAGCACTGCTCCTACTGCATAGTCAGATGCATCACACATAATCTCAAATGGGTGATCCCAGTTTGGAGCTTGTACTATTGGCGCAGACACCAGAGCATCCTTCAGCAAGGTCCAAGACTTGTGGCATTCTTCATCAAACTCAAAATCTGTCTCCTTGCACAGAAGCCTTGTCAAGGGTCTTGCTATCTTTGAGAAATCCTTGATGAATCTTCTGTAGAACCCTGCATGACCCAGAAAACTCCTTATGTCCTTCACAGTCTTGGGAACAGGGAGCTGCAACATGACATCCACCTTAGCTCGATCGAGCTCGATCCCTTTCTCGGAAATCTTGTGTCCAAGCACAATCCCTTCTCGAACCATGAAGTGGCACTTCTCCCAGTTGAGTACTAGATTGGTCTCCTCACACCTCTGCAACACCCTGCACAAGTTAGACAAACATGAGGAGAAGGATGCTCCATAGACTGAGAAATCGTCCATGAAGACTTCTACCATCTCCTCTATCAGATCTGAAAAAATGGAGGTCATGCACCTCTGGAAAGTAGCTGGAGCATTGCACAGCCCAAATGGCATCCTTCGATAAGCAAAGGTGCCATAAGGGCATGTGAAAGTGGTCTTCTCCTGATCATTAGGGTGGATCGGGATTTGGAAGAAACCACTGTAGCCATCAAGAAAACAATAAAAGGGTGGTTTGCCAATCTTTCTAACATCTGATCAATGAAAGGGAGAGGGAAATGATCCTTTCTAGATGCTGAATTTAGCTTCCTATAGTCAATACACATGCGATGCCCCACTATTGTTCTAGTGGGAATCAGCTCCTCTTTGTCGTTTTTAATGACAGTGATCCCCCCTTTCTTTGGGACGCAATGAACTGGAGATATCCAAGTGCTATCACTGATGGGATAGATTATCCCAGCATCAAGCAACTTGAGTATCTCTTTCTTCACTACTTCCTTTAGATTGGGGTTCAATCTTCTCTGAGGTTCAATGCTTGACTTACTTTCATCCTCTAGATGAATCCTATGGATGCATAGGTCAGGGGAGATCCCCTTGATATCATCTAGAGTGTAACCTATTGCCTTTCTGTACTTCCTCAATTCAACAAGCAAAGCACTCAACTGTTCAGGTTCCAAATCAGAGTTCACAATGACAGGGTAAGTTGAGTTTTCACCCAGAAATGCATACCTGAGGCCCTCAGGCAAAGGTTTGAGGTCGACTTTAGGCGCCTTAAGCTCAGACCAATCTCCTTGAGCTTGTCCTTGCATTCAGCCCAGCTCGATCGAGTTCGTTTGTTCGAGGCTCGACTCGATCGAGTTCTTGATCGAGCTCACTGCCATGACTTCGCAAACTGGCCTGTCCAATCCCTCAATGCTCAGAATGTTTGGAACTGGTCTGAAGGTGTCAAGGAGCTTCTTGTACTCATCAGTTTCTGAGCTCACATATCCCTCTGAAGAATCCTTGGTCAAAGCAACTTGTAGTGGATCCTCTGTTGATAACTCTTCTAGAAGCTCATCTGCCAACTGATCCATTTCCTCAACATAAAAGAGCTGACCTTCTATAGTTGGTTTCCTCATTGTATCCTTGATATCAAACTTCATCTTAGGTCCTTTCCCAAGTTTAACTCAATTGTTCCTTCACAGACATCTATCATTGCTCTTGCTGTAGCTAGGAATGGCCTTCCTAGAATCAATGGATCTGTTGGTTCCTCATCCATCTCAAGCACAATGAAGTCTGTGGGGATTTCCACATTCCCTATCCTCAAAGGCAGGTCTTCAAGCATCCCAGTTGGTAACCTTATCGATCTATCTGCCAAGACTAGTGAGATTCCGCAGGCTTGGTACTTGTGATATCCCAGTCTCTTTGCTACAGACAAAGGCATGAGGCTGACAGATGATCCTAGATCGCAGAGACTGTTTTTGAAAGATAGGGGTCCCAACATGCAGGGCAAAGTGAAACTCCCCGGATCTTCCTTTTTGTCGGAGATGACCTTCCGCTGAATGATTGCACTGCACTCGCGAGTCAACACTACCATCCCTTGTGCTTCCCTGGTTCTTTGCTGAACAGCATCCTTCAGAAATTTCTGATAAGGTGGAATGAGCATCAAGGCGTCGATGAAGGGCAACTTCAACTCAAGCTGTCTCATTAGTTCATCAAACTTGGCCTTGTGTGCTTCCAACAGTTGTTTCTTGAACCTTCCTGGAAAGGGCAGAGGGGGCTTGTATGGTGGTGGTCCTGCTGGAGTGTCTTTCTTCTTTGCAACAGGTTTAGCTGGTTGGCTGGAGTTTGCTTTGTCTGTTTTCTTCTGAGCTCGATCGAGCTCTGGTTTGTCTTGCAGTGTCTCAGTTTCTCCAGCTCGATCGAGTTCTGGTTCAGGGTTTTGTTCCAGCTCGATCGAGTTCGGGGTCGAGTTATCAGCATGTCGACTAAATCCTCCCCTTCCTCGTCATCGATGTCCACAGCGATTTGGGGTGGGCTACCTCTACTAGGGAATTGCCTCCCACTTCTTAGTGTAACTGCTTGGGCATACTCTTGTGGTGAAGAGGATGATGCACTTGAAGACTCAATGATTTGGACTCTTGAAGTCAATGACTCTAGTTTAGAGTGTATCTCAACCAGCTTGTTGTTCATTTCCAGAGAACCTTTGGCTTGCCCTTGTAAAAGTTGTTGGAGCATTTCCTTCATATCCCAATCATGAGTTGGTTGGGTATGAGTAGTCCTTGTGTTGAAACCTTGTGGAACACTTTGTTGTTGGTGCGGCCAGGGGGCTTGATAATTGTTGTATCTCCCTTGTTGAGGATTCATATAGTTTGCTTGGTTATTGTGGATGTAGCAGACCTCATGTTTTGTCTCCGGCCTTGGTTCCGCCGGTTTGTGTTTTGGCCGAGATTGGTATATTCGGTCGGCCAAAATGTGGTGCTGTGAACTACAGAACAAACCGTCAAAAATTTCATGACCTATATTGAAATTTCATCGACCAACCTGGTATTTTATGCCTCTGGTGAAGTTTGGGAGCATTTGACGAGCGGATTGAGACTTCCTTCACAAAATGGTCAAGTCGGCTCCGGGAAGGAGTTTCCTTGGCCATGTGAAGTTTGGCTCGTTCCTTTTCGTTTCTTCCTGCATAAAAGTGTTAGTTAAGCTCAAAGAAGAGTTTTCCAACCGGTTGGCGCGCTTATGCCGTGATTTGGTTTTGTCGGCCATATTGCTTGCGCGCCATCGGCCAGAATGAGCTCCGTCGTCTATCTCATGATCCGTGATGATTTCTCCGTCCTATCTTTTGGATTTGCCGACCAACATGTGATTTTATGGTCGCCTGTGAAGTTTGGTGGACTTTGGTCACGCCGTTTAGGAGTTGGCCGTAATTTGGTCTCCTTGTGCGCGGTATGGCCGAGAGAAATGTCCTGGATTGAATTTCTTCAAATCCACTCGGGCCAATTGAGATTTTCTTCGACCGAATTGTTTTAATAACCCTCCTGTGTCATTCCCAAGTGGTGGCCGCCTTGTTTCGTGTGATGGCCTATGTATCTCCTTTTAACCTCCCTTTGGCCGCCATATGCATGTTGGTTTTGAGGTGGTTGATAGGTTTGCTTATTTCTCCTTCCTGTCAAATGGTTAACTCCTTGCAAAACACTTGAAATCATGATTAGATGGTTTCTCAGATTGTGATCCTCAAGTGACCAACTTGAAGTTCACAATCCAAGAGATTAAAGCACAAACTATAAATTCTTATTTGGTCTTGGTCAATGATCCAAATTTCAAACTATAGTTCAATCTCTTGTAATTTCAGTGAGCAAAATGAGTTTTGACAAGTGATTATGTATTCTTTCCAATCATCAAAAGTAAATCAAGTTAAACCATGAAATATATTTGGTAAAGTGCAATGGTTTAAACGATTTTTCAAGTGAAGATCAAGAGTGATTAGAAATGAATACTAGGTGAGAGTTTACTTACCTTTTGGAAGAGAAACGCCTTGTACAAGGGTGGGCTCATTGGGTGGGACACTTCCATTGTTTGGTCTCCTTTGGGTCTTCATCCTAAGAAAATATTTTTGTATTTTTGTTTGATTTTTGAAAAACTCCTGCAAAATAGAAATAATAGTTAAAAACCATATGGGTTGCCTCCCATAAAGCGCTTTTGTTTTAAGTCATTTAGCTTGACTCCTTTTCTTTCTTTCAATCGTGGTGAAGAGTGGCTGAAGGGCAAAGGATCCCTTTAGCTTCTCCATTCTCCGGTTCAGTGGCTTCTTGTAGTGGTGTTTGCGCCATGTCATCTCTCACATCATCTTTGAAAACCAATGCCTTGGGGAAAAGCTTCATAGTTCTCTCAAGCTTCTCTTCAATGGATTGGTCACCTTTAAGCTCCGAATCTTTTGGTGTAAAGATTCTTATCTTGTGAAAGAGATTAGGTGCACCATTAGTCTCCTCTTCAGCTCCATA